TGCAGGGAACCTGATGACAGAACTAACTTCTAAGAAGTTTGATTGGTCTATGCCAATCCATGATCACTGCGATCAAATGTCCAATATTGCAGCAAAATTAAAGGGGATGGGGATGGAGTTGTCTGAATCATGGCTAGTTCATCTAGTCATTAACTCACTTCCACCAGCAGAGTTTGGACAGTTCCATGTGAACTACAATACTCTTAAAGAAAAATGGAGTTTTAAAGAAACCAAACATTTGCTGGCTCAAGAGGAAACGAGATTAAAGAAGTTAAGAGATCACTCCATCCACTTCACATCTCAAGGAAATTCAAGTACCAATAAAAGGAAACCAGGTAAAAGGGGCAAGACCCAACATAACACTCAGTCGGGTCAAGCCCAGAAAAGAGTCAAGTGCTTCTTTTGTAACAAAATGGGGCATTTGAAGAAAGATTGTCCGAAAAGAAAAGCTTGGTTTGAAAAGAAGGGTAATGATTCTATCTCTATGTTTTTTGAATCAAACCTTATAGAAGTACCAAACAGTACCTGGTGGTTAGATTTCGGCGCTACTACTCATGTCTCTCATATTTTGCAGGGATTCAGTTCGATCTAAACCACAAGAAAAACTGATGAATTCTTGTTTTGTGGGAAACAGGATGAAGGCACAGATAGAGGGAATAGGGACGTATAGATTGATCCTAGATACTGGATATCATTTGGATCTAGCAAATAGTCTCTATGTCCCTGACTGTGCTAGAAATCTTGTTTCAATTAGTAAGTTAGATATGTTGGGATTTTACATCAAATTTGAGAATCGTACTTTTCATTTATGTAAGGACAATAAATATTATGGTTTTGGTAATTTAATTGATTCTCTTTATCGTTTTAATCTTGATGTAAATTTTGCTGAATCCTTATTTCATGTTGAGAGTAGTATAGGAGTTAAACGTAGTGCATTAAAGGAAAACTCTGCTTACTTGTGGCATAAACGTTTGACACATATCCAAGGAAAGGTTAGTAAGGTTGGAGAAAAATGAAATCCTCCCTGCCTTGGATTTTAGTGATTGGGATGTGTGTGTGGATTGTATCAAAGGAAAACAAACCAAACACATAACCAAGAAACCTGCTACAAGAAGTAGTGAGCTGCTTGAAATAATTCACACCGACATTTGTGGACCTTTCGATGTTCCTTCTTGGGGCAGCGAAAGGTACTTCATCACCTTTATAGATGACTACTCACGATATGGCTGTATATATCTACTGCATGATAAATCTCAGTCTGTGGGCACTTTAGAGGTGTTCATTAATGAGGTTGAAAGGCAGTTAGATAGAAAAGTCAAAATTGTGAGGTTAGACCGGAGGGGGGGGGGGGTTGAATATTATGGTAGGTCTGACGAAAAAGGACAATGTCCAGGTCCTTTTGCTAAATTCCTCGAAAGCAGGGGCATTTGTGCACAGTATACAATGCCTGGAACACCACAGCAGAACGGCGTGGCTGAAAGGCGTAATCGAACCCTCATGGATATGGTTAGGAGTATGGTAAGTAATTGTACCTTACCTTCTTCATTGTGGATGTATGCGTTAAGGACCACTGCATATTTATTAAATCGGGTTCCAAGTAAAACAGTTCATAAGACACCTTATGAACTATGGACAGGAAGGAAACCGAGTTTAAGGCATCTCCATGTATGGGGTTGTCAAGCAGAAGTAAGGTTGTATAATCCACGTGAGAATAAACTTGACCCAAGGACAGTCAATGGTTTTTTCATTGGCTATCCAGAAAGGTCTAAAGGGTACAGGTTTTATTGTCCTAACCATAGTATGAGGATTGTAGAGACTTGAATGCTCGATTCATTGAAAATGGTCAAAATAGTGGGAGCACAGAACTACGTAAGGTGGACATTCGAGAAATTCATGTTGAAACCTCTTCACATGAAAATTTCTTTCAAGATGTAGCTCCGGTTATCACATTGCCATCCTCTAGAGCACCGGAACAACATGAGAATGTCCTAAACCCACATGAGGGTATTGTGACCAATGAAAATGAATCAATCACAATTCAGCAAGAAATCAATGAACCACGAAAAGAAATGACATTAAGGCGCTCTACAAGGGAAATGAGGCCTGCCATTTCTAATGACTACGTGATATATTTTGCTGAACAAGAAAATGATTTGAGCATTGATAAAGATCCAGTTTCTTTCAAAACAAGCCATTGAAAGTGACAGTTCTGAAAGATGGTTAGATGTCATGAAAGATGAGTTGAAATCTATGAAAGTCAACAAAGTTTGGAACCTTGTAGAATTACCTGAAAATTCAAGAAGAGTCGGGTGCAAATGGGTCTTTAAGACCAAACGCGACTCTAACGGTAATATCGAAAGGTATAAAGCTAGACTTGTTGCCAAGGGTTATACTCAGAAAAGTGGCATCGACTATAAAAAGACCTTTTCCCCAGTTTCTAAGAAGGACTCGTTAAGGATTGTCTTGGCATTGGTGGCTCATTAAAATTTAGAGCTTCACCAAATGGATGTTAAAACTGCCTTTCTAAATGGTGATTTAGAGGAAGAAGTATATATGGACCAACCAGAAGGGTTTTTTACCACATGAAAGGAACACTTGGTGTGTAAATTAGAAAAGTCAATATATGGACTTAAGCAAGCTTCCGGACATTGGTACATTAAATTTGACAGTATTATTACATCTTATGGTTTTGTGGAAAATACTGTTGATCGGTGTATCTACATGAAAGTCAGTGGGAGCAAGTTTGCTATTTTGGTCTTTTGTGTGGCAAATGGAATCGGCTGGCACAGGACCTTGCCTGGTAAACCCCAGCAGAATGGTGTTACCGAACGTTTGAATAGGACTCTATTGGAAAGAGCTCGTTGTATGCTCTTTAATGCTGGGTTATGGAAACGGCGTGATTTTTGGGCCGAGGCTGTTTCTACTGCTTGCTATTTGGTAAATAGATCTCCACATTCATCCCTTGATTTCAAAATTTTAGAGGAAGTTTGGTCAGGTAATCCTGTTGACTACTCTATCTTAAGAGTTTTTGGATGTCCTGCTTATGCTCATTCCAGTACGGGTAAATTAAACCCGAGAGCTGTCAAATGCATTTTCCTTGGTTATGCCTCTGAGTCAAAAGGGTATCGTCTATGGTCTCCTGATTCTCAGAAAGTCATTCTGAGTCAAGATATTACTTTTGATGAAAATGCACTACTTTCTTCTGGAAAAGTTCCCAGTACAAGTTAGACGCAGAGTACTGGTGAAAAAGTGGAGTTTGAGTTCACGCCTATTGATAGTGTTACTATTACTGACGGTAATACTAAAGATGATGCATCAACTAGCACCGCACCTCTCGTCGAGCCACAACGAGAGTATTACATTGCTATGGATCGTCCTAGGAGGACAATTAAAAAACCTGCTAGGTATGCTAGTGATGATGAAACCAACATGGTTGCTTATGCTCTTTCAGTCGCATAGGAAGTTGATGGTGATCCATCCTACTATTCTGAGGTTCTTCCTGTTACTAAGTTCAAGCAGTGTTTGAGTTTAGTCGACTGTTCCAGTTGTTAATGCCATAATAGATTTGATCCAAGGTGGAGATTGTTAGAATAATAATTTGTGTGTCTCAATTCCATAATATTGTGTGGCTCACATTCATGAAAACCACGTTGCCTACTGCATGTCTTCGCATTACCTGCTGCATGTCTTCACGTCGTCACCGACTTTGCCAGATTTTCATTTGTTTGCCGCAACATTTGGTCTAAGTTTTGTATAAATAGGCTTAGTTTGTTTGCTTTCAATACGTACACCTCTTACATCAATTCATTATTGAATTCTATTTCCTTCTTTTAGTTTCTCACGTATGCATTAATATATATTCCTTTAATTCTCATTTGAGAGTTTATATACATATTTTATACTTTCCAATTTTATCAATTCTATTGTTTTTTATATATTTTTTCTTATTATTTAACTTCTATAATTCTCAATTTTCGATCCTTCGCTTCCGCATTATTCTGCTATATTCCTAACAGCAACCATACAAGCTACGGTCTTAACCGAATTTATATTTGTATAAACCATAAATAAAAATATATCCGAACCAATACCTATTCAATTTCACCTGAAATTTAAAATTCTATTCAGATTTTAGGTGTTAGTTCGGATAATCCGAATTATACCCACCCTTACATCTGATTATTTGAAAATAAATTTGCACTATTACGAAAATAAACATGTTGTGCTTGCTTAATAAACTTATTTAATGTTTATCAGTATAATGATGTATTTGTATCAAAATTTTGATAAATGAACTAATAGTATATTAAAAATGAACATAATATAACGACTTAATATAATTGCATGTTAATTTAAAATATTAAAATAATTATGTCATTTAAAAGATTATAATTATAATTTTTAATAATATATTTTTATATATTAATGTTATTTGTATAAAAATAAAAAATAAAAAATAAAAACTTAAATGGAAAAAAAAAAAAAATTCGGTTCACCTTGCAAATTACTTCTATCGTTTTTATTTTTAAAGCTTGTTGTTAATTAGCAACACAGTGACCCACTGAATACTATATTAGTCATAGCACTCCCTATGTATTTGTTCGACAAGTGGCAAACCCATAGCCAGATATTAATTTTGTGATTATTTAAAGCTAAATAAATGATTGGTTGGCGGTGGCTATGCTGACATGGCCAGAGATGAGTGGTTGAGAGAATCAAAGATGGTGGCTTAGTTGGAGTTGGGCGACTGGGCGGTGTTGATGATGATGATGGTCGGTTCTTGCATTGCATTCTGTTACTATCAACCCTTAGCACACCAGCGCAGCTTAGGATATATTATTATAGAAAATGAGACTCAATTCAATGATGTATAGAAAATGGGTAAATAGTGAAATGGGGCGGCAAAAGCTGAAGAAGCCAAAACTAAATGTAATAATTAAATTAAATCTTGGTCTCCCGGCCCCATAAATAGCCCTCAGCTCACTTCACACCACACTCCACCAGAACACACTTTAATTGATTTGTTTGAGTAGTACAGTTGAAATGGGGAAAGACGTTGAGGTTGGCAATGAGTACTCTCTAAAGGACTACCAAGACCCTCCACCAGCACCCTTCATTGACCCGGAGGAGCTGGGTCAATGGTCTTTTTATAGGGCCATCATAGCTGAGTTTGTTGCCACTCTTCTGTTCCTCTACGTCACTGTTCTCACAGTGATCGGATACAAAAGCCAAACAGACCCTCATGTCACTGGCACTGATGCCTGCGGCGGTGTTGGCATTCTTGGCATTGCTTGGGCCTTTGGTGGCATGATCTTTATTCTTGTTTACTGCACTGCCGGCATTTCTGGTATGTACTTAATTACCTTATGTTTTTGTTGGGCGAATTGAAGGCCTGTAAAGGGCAGAAAAGAACATGTGATGACTGTCTATAAACAAATAAAGTTAGACCTAGCTTGGTTATTAACTATATATATATATGGATGATAGTTCTTAAAAATGTGATAGCAAATTAAAGGAAATAAAGCTTGATCCTAACAATTTAATTTGTACGTGTATATGCTAGGGGGACACATTAACCCAGCTGTGACATTTGGGCTTTTCTTGGCGAGGAAGGTATCACTTGTCCGAGCCATAATGTACATGGTGGCACAGTGCTTAGGAGCCATTTGTGGATGTGGGCTGGTTAAGGCCTTCCAGAAGGCTTATTATGTGAGGTATGGCGGTGGCGCCAACGAGCTGGCTGATGGTTACAGTAAGGGTACTGGGTTGGGTGCTGAGATCATTGGTACATTTGTTCTTGTTTACACTGTCTTCTCTGCCACTGACCCCAAAAGAAATGCTAGGGATTCCCATGTTCCTGTGAGTAGTATTTTGTATTTTATTTATTCAACTTTAAAACTGTCTCATCACGTACGTTATATATATTACTGATGAATAATCTAATCTTGAACTAATAACGTTAAGGTTTTGGCACCACTGCCGATTGGATTTGCTGTATTTATGGTTCACTTGGCGACGATTCCAGTGACGGGGACGGGCATCAACCCAGCAAGGAGTTTTGGAGCAGCTGTGATATATGGGAAAGACAAAGCATGGGATGATCAGTGGATATTCTGGGTTGGACCCTTTATTGGAGCTGCAATTGCTGCCATATACCATCAGTTCATTCTCAGAGCAGGAGCGCTGAAAGCCCTTGGATCACAGAGGAGTAATGCTTAATTAATTTTGCAACAATAATTCTGGAGGAAATTGTATATACCAAGATTTTCTGGGGGTAGAGAGTCTCATCATCCTCTGTGTTGCTTATTTGTGTGTTGTACTGTGCTACTTTGTTTTGTTTTGTTTTTAAGTGTGCCAATTAAATCAATGCTTTCCTTTTCCATCTCTTCTTGTGATTATGTACTTTTTTTGCTGTTGGTATCATGCATGTACCACATAGTGGAATATAGTAATGGTATATATCTTCTCAAATTAAAACTGCTGGAAGAATTATTTTTCAATTTTTAATTTTGTTCAAATTGTTAAATATTTTGGAGTACACAATCAAAATTAAATAAGGGATAAGACAAATACATAAATGAGCTCAATGATGACTTTATTCTTAGATCATTAACCATTATTATACAAAACTTTTGGAGTATTTAGACATAAGTGTGAGATTTTTTTAGCTAGTAAAATCAAAGAAATATTGGTTTGAGAGTCACGTTTTTGACAAGCAGATAAATTGCATATACCCATAAAAAAAAATAAGTGTGACAAATTGTAAAATACAACGAAAAGTCAAAAATAGAGTTGTATATATTTTAGCAAAATAACCAAATATTTTTTATGTATTTGCTAAACTACATATTGCAATGAGGTTTGGGACGCAAATTATGCCGTGGAAACGTGTTCACCATGCTTGGTGAACACGTTTCCAAACGACGTCGTTTTTGGTGTTTTTTTTTTTTTTTAAATATTGTTCTATTAACGGCGTTAGCACCCGATTTTGAAGGCAGTTCTGATTTGCGATAGCCAATTTTTTGCGATTGATTTGATCCGACATTCGTGATTATTTCCTATTCGCGATGGAGAAGACGACGGTTCGAGGAAAAGATTCCACCGATCCGATTTCTGCGATTCCAGGTTCGTTCGATTCTATGTGTTTGATTTCGTTTCATTTATGAGATTTAGCATGTTGAAGATTTAGTTTGTTTTTATTGGTATTTGTTCAGTATGTATGCAGTTTGAATGTTCATAATGTCGTAATTGTGTATTAGTACCATGTTTCTGTTATGAATTTTACAATATAAGATTATGTATTTTCTGTTACGCAATTATGAATTTTGATACTCTGTTCATGCATGTGGTATGAATGTTCATAATGTAACAGTACTATAAACATTGACATTGCTGGTATGTTACCATGTTTGCATATACTCAGTGAATGAAGAATTTGTTGGTGATTCAATAAGCACTGATCAAGCAGAGTTAAACATTGACACTGCTGGCTCGTCTTCAAGTCCAGGTTCTTTTTATTAGTTTGTGTATCATGAATGTGGTTTCTGGTAGTTGTAGGTAATGATTAATGGTGATTGTATGCAATTTGAATGTTAGTTATGTTGTGATTGATATTAATACTCTGTTCATGTTATGAATTTACAGTTTTGATGTTATGAATTTTCTGTTGTGTTATTATGAATTTTCTATATGAGATTATGAATTTTATGTTATGAGATTATGAATTTTATGTCATGAGTATATGATTTATGTGTATCTGTTATTGATGGAAAATATGTTCTTCTTAGGCTGGATTTATTCGGCATTCCCCCCCCCCCCCCCCCCCCCCTCTACGTAAATGAAGAATATATTTCCATCAAACTTATTTTTGTTATGATATTATTCACTATCTATGCAGCTTTGAATGTCCATAATGTCACAAATGTTATTGATACTTTGTCTCTGTTATGAACTTTCTGATATGATATTATGAATTTTCTTCTTTGTGATTATGAATGTTCTCACATGAGATTATGAATTTTCTATTGTAGCATATTATATTCATTATAGGTGAACTGCACATTCATATTTTAGTAGTTCATATAAGTGTGGTTATTTTTTTGTTGCAATTGCAGTTGATGAAGACTTGGTTGGTGTTGTAGTAAGCAATGGTGACGAAGCTTTTGAGTTATATAATGGATATGCATACAGAGCTGGTTTTAGTGTGAGGAAAGGCCAACAACGTTATAAGGCATCTACTAAGTCAATTCAGATGAAGAGGTTTTTCTGTGCTAAGGCTGGGTATAAGGAGAAACCAAATAGTGGTGTTAAGCTTTATTCAAAGATAGATATGAGGACCGGCTGTGGTGCACTTGTTCAGTTTGATGTGGGGGGTGATGGGATGTGGATAGTTACAAAACATGTGAAAGAGCACAATCATGAGTTATGTTCATTTGGCAAGAGTCATCTGCTCCGGTCGCATAGAAGAGTGGGAAACAATCATCTTGAATATTTAAAAGACATGAAGAATAGTGATGTTGCATTGGCGGATGGTATGAGGTTTTTGAAACATCAGTCAGGGGGTTCTCCATTGGTTGGCTTTACCAACCGCGATGCTTACAATTCGATGGCTTTTGTGAGTTTGAAGTGTTTGGATGGAACTGATTCCAATTCTTTGATTGAAATATTCAGGAGGAGGCAATCTAATGAGGCTGATTTCTTTTTTGATTTCGAAGTTGATTTGGATGGAAGATTGTGTAGTTTTTTTTGGAGGGATGGTCAAATGAGAAGGGATTATGTGGTGTTTGGTGATCTGTTAGTGCATGATACAACATATCGCACTAACAAATATGATATGATTTGTGGTCCTTTTGTAGGGATGAACCATCATTGCATGAATGTAATGTTTGGATGTGGGTTTTTGATGAATGAGAGGATAGAGTCATTTGCGTGGTTGTTTAGAGCGTTTAGATCCATGGATGGCAAGTGTTCACAGACTATCATGACGGATCAATGTTCAGCTATGGCTGCTGGCATTTCCATGGTGTTTCCTACATCACGCCACCGTCTTTGCATATGGCATATTGGTGAGAACTCGAAGAAGCATATCAAGGCATTAAGGAATCATAAGGATTTTCTGGATATGTTCAATTGTGTGTTGAAATACACCGAGACTGAAGCGGAGTTTGAAGTTTATTGGACAAGGTATGTTATTATTTACCTTGTTCATTGGGTACAGTATCATATTTTGGTATGTTTAGTCATTTACTCTGTGTATTCAACAGGGGAAAAAAATTATGAATTTACATTACATAATTATGTATTTTCTGTTATGTCATTATGTATTTTCTGTTATATGATTATGAACTTTCTAATATGAGATTATGAATTCACAGTTATACAATTATGGATTTTCTGTTATGTCATTATGTATTTTCTGTTATATGATTATGAACTTTGTAATATGAGATTATGAATTTTCAGAATATGATTAGTAAACATGTGTTTTAACTTTTTCAGGATGGTTACAAAATATAATTGTCATAAGAATACATGGCTAGAGAAGCTTTATGACTATAGGGAAAAGTGGTGTCAAGCGTTCAACAAGGATTATTTCTTCGGGGGTATTTTATCTTCGCAAAGGAGTGAAACCACAAATCATTCAATTTCCAGGAGGTTGTCCAAGACTGCTGGTTTATGTGATTTTTATTCATCCTTTGTGAGTGTTATTTCTGAATGGAGAAGTAAGGAAAACGGTGAGGATTTCCGGTGTTCTCAAGGAGTACCCACCATGATAATGGATCATGTGAAACTCCTTTCACATGCTAGAGAGGTTTATACGATTGAGATATATTTTTTGTTCGAGGAACAGTTTATGAAAGGTAGCTCTTGTTATCAAGAAATGGTGTTGAATAATGGTTGTAAGTGCAAGTATCACGTATGGCGACCAGACATAGATATCATAAGGCATGAAGTAACTTTTAAGCCAATCAATTTGGATATATGCTGTAGTTGCAAGCTGTTTTCAGAATTGGGAATACTTTGCTGCCATTGCTTAAGTATACTTCATGTGCACTGTGTTTCCAGTATTCCTGATAAATACATTCTAAAAAGATGGACTAAAAAGGTTGTTGAGGGTAGAAATTTGGACATTGCATCCGTGTTTTATAATGGTGGTGTCCCTTCTTCAATTTGGGCTGTTGAGATTAGTAGGAAATTTCAAAGGCTTATTGTTTCTAGCCAAGATAACAGTGTTGCTAGACAATTCTGTGATGAAGTTGTTGAGAATGCAAGGAAAAACATTGAAGCTGAGATTGGGGATGTGAATACTGAGGAGGGTGCTGTGTCTTCGTCAAGTGGTATTGTCCAAGATCCTTCAAGCCGGAGGAGTAAAGGTGTGAGAAATAAAAGGAGTAGTAGTGTTATTGAGAAAAAGTACAATGCAGCAAGGGGGAGAAAGAGTGCTGCAAACAAGCTTGCTTCAATTACAAAGGGCTCTATCCAATCATTGGTATTGGAAAAAAAAAATTGTGAGTGGTGGGAGTTAACGGTGCCACTTACGGGCACCGTTAGTCCCACTCACACAAAACGGGGTCGTATGGAACCGTGTTCACCATCCATGGTGAACACGGTTCCATGGCATAATGATTGGCATGGGCAAATTATGCCCTGGACCCGTGTCCACAATGAATTGTGGACACGGGCCCAAAACGACGTCGTTTTTCAAAAAAAAAAAACGCGTCATTTAGTTAAAAAAAAAAAAAAAAAAAAAAATAATCGTGTGCGTTTTGCCGTTAACGGCGTTATTTTTTTTTTTTGGATTATGAATGTACAGTTATGCCGTTATGAATGTACAGTTATGTAATTACGAAATTATGAACACAGAGCTCTAACATTATGAACTTACAATTATGAACATATAGTGATAAAATTATGACCATGGAGCTTTAAAATTGTGAATATAGAGCTTCGAAGATTATGAATGTACAGTTATGGAGTTATGAATGTACAGTTATAGAGTTATGAATCTACAGTTATGGAGTTATGAATCTACAGTTATGAGATTATGAATCTACAGTTATGGAATTATGAATGTCCAGTTATTGATCGAATTATGAACAAAGAGCTCTGACATTATGAACATATAGTGATAAAATTATGAACATAGAGCTCTAAAATTCTAAACATAGAGCTTCGAAAATTATGAATGTACAATTATGGAGTTATGAATGTACAGTTATAGAGTTATGAATGTACAGTTATGGAGTTATGAATGTACAGTTATAGAGTTATGAACGTACAGTTATGGAGTTATGAATGTACAGTTATTAACATATAATAATAAAATTATGAACATATACTCCTATAACGAAGCGGTCTGGAAACCCGTGTCCAACATGCATGCTGGACACGGGTCCAACGCATAACGATTGGGTAGCTCAATTGGTCATAGAGGTGAAAGTTTGAAAGAATGATCAGGGATCAAGTTTCACCAGTGGCAATGTGGGAGCAACCTCCAGCTCACACCTGAAGCTGTTCATCCTCTAAAGTGAACAACAAAACACCTAAAAAATACACATCCCCAACAAAACCCACTCATAATATCAACATTACCCAAAGATTTAACAAATAGAAAGAATATATAGAGCACAATTGTAAGCAAATTTGTGGCTTATCACTAGTATTTCACCAAGCAAAGTTGCATATATCAAATATTTAAGAGTAGGAAGTAAAAGTTAGGAATACATATATTATTTTCCATATTATCATGATTACAGGACACATTCATAGATCATAGAGCTTACAAATACCCTTACATAAATTAAACGTTGGAAGGAAGCATACATGAAGACGACTACAAAACAAATAAAACAAGCTACCATTATTTATATATATATATATATATATATATATATATATATATATATATATCAAATAATCAAACAACCTCAGAAACCTTGTGAGCATGGTGAAAAGGTAAGCACATATAGTTGCTACCAAAATCCAAATCCCCCTCTGCTAAGGCCTTGCAGTAGATATACAGAACCACGTTTGCAGCAAACGCATGAAGCATGAGTTGAGCCTCAAAAACTATATACAACACTGCCTGAAATACATGGGTCCAGCTCCAATGCCCATTAGGCGCACCCACCATCATTATCATCATCATCAGGTAAGTCATAGACAAGCTCAGAATACCGAAATATAGCAATACACACAATGCTACTCCTCTCATCCCCTTCACTAACTCCCCACTTCTCCTCAAGGCTTCATACCCCCATTTTGATTCCTCCACCACAATCACATACGCTAGGCACCACTTCACCTGTAGCCATAAAACCATGGATACAAGAAGCAGCACCAACATAATAATTACCAAAACCTTAAAACTAATTGACAACCCGTGGTAATTCACTTCAACAACACCTAAACTTTGAAGCCCGGTTATCAGAATCGCCCCCAAAACCCCGAAAACCATAGCGATGCAAAACACAATTGTTAGAAAGACAAATTGGGTTGCAAGTAGAGGCAAGAAAGTGTACAGCAGGGACTTGACCGAAGAGGCAAGTGTCAAGGGTCTACCGTAGAACCCGTTGAAAGTACTATAGGTGATAGTGCCCCAGGCGCAAAGGGTGAAGAACTGAGCAAAGAGGTTGATGAGGAAGGGGAGGAGGATGGGTTGGGCTGATCGGTTGCCAGTCGGGTCAGCGGGGAAGAGGAGTAGCCATTGTTGGGGGTAGAAGCCATCATGGTGGGAAAGGGCGGTGTAGAGGGCTAGGTAGATAACGCTGGAGAGACACAAGGGAAAGAGAAAGAGAAGTGAAAGCGAAAAGAAATGGCGGTTGTGGGCTCTGATTATCCGTCTGGCTTCAGAGATCACTGCCCAGAAGGAGAAGCCTTGTGCACCAGGCGCAGTAGACATGAGATCAGAGAGATTATGTTCAAGAAGATCAGATGATTGTAATCTGTATACTGAGAAGTGTTTTCTATTTTTGAAATGGGAAAATAACATTAATAAATTATCAAATTTTCAAAGTTTCTAGAAAATCAGGCAAATTTCTTGTACCCACCCGGTCTGACTTCTAAATTTTCCATATGGAAAAGTATTTCCATTCAATTAATCTAATAATCTAGCGTGTGGAAAAACTAAGTACTTTGTAATTTAGGATAAGACTATCATTTTCAACCATATTATTTTCAATCACACCATAGTGGCCAACAGGCCAATACCGTTGTCCATGGCAAATTTTACAATTAACCGCACCTAGCAGCTAGCCTGGACCAGATAGAAAACAGACATCATTTGAAGTTTCTTCCATTAATGATAGTTAGAAATTTTCGTTATGATCTATATAGCACCTACTCTTATCATTTTGTTTCATTTTATACCCACTATAGTTTCATTACAACATCATTAATGTATCATTCTAATTCAACTACAGTTTAATTTTATAATATACACTCAATAAGTGAAGTCTACTATTCAGCTCCATTTTATATACAATGTAGTTCCATTACTGTACCGCTAAAGTATAATTCTTATTCAACTACACTTTAATTTGACAATATACATCCAATATGTAAGACCTATTATTCAATTTCATTTTATACACGCTATAGTTTCATTATAGCATCATTGAAAAAAAAAAAAAAAAAAAAAACCTGGACGCGTCGCAGAATGTAACAACTGCCATTTCTTTTGAAAAGAAACAACGCTGTTTTGGACCATGCATGGTCCATTGTATAATGATTGGTTGTCCATATGTCTCAGACATTGGTATGAGAAGTCTCATTTAAAACATGCTTTTATTCAAAATAAGCTTGGCATGACTTGAAGCCTTTTTAAAGACCTATTTAATATACTCTCTCTGTCCCATTTTATCTGTCCTACTTACTATTCATTGGTCAAACGAACTCTTTTTTTTTTCTTTAGTATTCTTTACTTATTTTTAAATTTGATTTGTTGTGTTTAATAGTACTTTTTGTGTAGTTTCTAAATATATAAATTTTGTATACTAACACTAAACTTAATATTATGAAAAATTGAATTAAAATAACTTCAGTCAAGCTTCGTTAACCGAGCCAGACACATAAACCGGGACGGAGGGAGTATATGCCATTGAAGAAACTTTTTTTTTAGGTCCAAGTCTGAGCCTACAATAGTTTGGAATGGCTTGAAACCTTTTTTAAAAGCTCATTTAATGTGTAGGTCATTAAACTTTGAGTCTACAATAGACTTTGAGTGTATTTAAGATCTGTCAGTGTTGTAAAAATTGCGCCTAGGCGCTAGGCGCCGCTCGGCCGCGGCGATGAAGGCTGGAATCGGCCTCCTCCACGGCCGGGCGTTTTTTTTTTTTTTTTTGTAGGGTGGTTGAAAAAGTGTAGAAACTTTGGCAAGGCATAATGTAACACCCCACTTTTTCTAAATCTTAATTACAATTCTAAACCACAATTAATCATAAACTATGCAGCGGATAAACAACTTAATAAGAAAACTAGTGGGAATGTCACCGCCACAACCACCACTCCGTGGTGATTGCACAGGTTAAGGGTGGAACTAGAAATAAAGATAAAATAACTAACATCCATAAACTCAACCGAAAGTCGTAAGGGGGAAAAAGACACCCTGAAGTCTACATCATCCAACATCATCAACAACATAAGTCTATAAATCTGACCAATAAGATCATAATAAAAGTAATAAGAGTTTAGACTTCTATAACTACTAGACTAGTCTAACTCGATCACTTCTCAACGCTGGGCCCACCTGAAAAAAGTTTTACAAACAACATATAGACAAATAAGAATATACCCGTTAGCACGAAGCTAAGTATAACCACATTCAACCCTGTAAAGTATTATAGAATATACTTTGGAAAAACATTTGTTCGCATACTAAGTCAAACAATCTCAACACATAAGCAACTGTAGATACATCACAGACTTTCTATATGTTTGCAACCTATAATATCAACAGGCATGCTTCAATACAAATGACTTAACAACATAAAGATTCCAGCACATAAATGTCACAACGATCTCATCGTAACGAACTCATGCTTACAAGCAATTTCATACTATTAAACAATACGAAAACTATCGTCATGCTTTCAAGTTCTCTTCATGCAAACTGGATATACAAGACCTCAAAATTTAACTAAAGCAATCATACTCGACATACAATCTTGATTCATCATTATCATTATGCAATCTCATGCAATACTCTACTCAAATGCAATCTCGTGCAATACTATACTCAAATGCAATCTCGTGCAATACTATAAATGTACTCAAATGCAATCTCGTGCAATACAATAAATATACTCATACACTCGTTTGTAAAATAGAATACTTTTTGTGGAGGTCTCATTGAGTCATAAATGACTTGCTTTCTTTCTTTCTTTCCTTAGAGTCGCAATGACTCACTTCTTACTTTCTTAGAGTCGCAATGACTCACTCTTTCTTTATAAATGAACAAGGTAGGAACTTCACCATAGTGTGAATGAACCTATCCAGGCACAGCGTCTAGCCGACCTAATACTCTGCTCGTCCACAGAACCACTCTCTTGGTTCTATGCTCAAACTCTGTGGAATCAGGTATCGAACTATTAGCGTGCACACCCCTGACCAGGATTCCAAGCCTAGCGGGCAATTTCCAACCTCGTAACGTTGGAATACACTGCGTTACATATACTGGGACCGCAATGTCCATAAAATCATCTGAGAGGACATAGTCCAAACGGGGTCCTCCAAAACCTCACCGATATAGATAATACATAAATATATCACTCATGCACCAAACGTATGCATGCCACAACTCAACAACTTCTCAATCCATCAAATAATGATATACCACATGCTTATGGATTTTGAAAGTAATACTTAGACTCAGGTTGGCCACTTATGCATCTTTTAAAACGTGGTCTACTTGGAATGCCAAAGACTATACAACATGCTTCAAATCCATGTATATAAAGCATAAAATTCTCAAGAATAAAATATCATGCTCGGCTTGCAACATGTCAAATTCTATATATTTCTATCATCAAAATATACTCCAAATTCCATTGATTCAACAACACATTCTAGTCATGCTTTTCTAATAATCTTATTCTCTAAAATGATAAATATATTCGTAAAATATAACATCTCTCGAGACAAAAATTTCTCCTGTGTTGGTATCATATAACTTGTAACCCTTGGTGCCTTTTTGATATCCAATAAAAATACATCTTCTTGCACGCGGAGAAAACTTTTTCCGACCCGATACTAAAGTCGTTGCATAAGCCAGGCAACCAAACACCTTTAATGTAGTATAGATTGGTGGTTTATGAAACAGTACTTCATAAGGGGTTTTATTGCCAATAACCGGGGAAGGTAACCGGTTAATAATATAAACTGCATGCGCCACACAGTAAGCCCAAAATTCTTCTGGTAAATGTGCTTGGAATCTCAAAGCTCGGGCTACATTTAGAATGTGTTGATGTTTTCTTTCCACTACACTGTTTTGCTCCGGGGTTTCAATACATGAAGTCTGATGTTCAATTCCCAGTGAACCATAAAAAGTCGGCATATTAAATTCTTGCCCATTATCTGACTGAATGCACTTGATATTAACTCCAAATTGATTTGAGACAAATTGGCAAAAATTTTGCAAGAATGGTCGTGTTTCTTTCTTTGTTCGCATAAAAAAAATCCAGGTAGCTCTACTGAAATCATCAACTAATGTCAAAAAATAATAATGACCATACAATGAAGGATTACCATAAGGTCCCCAAATGTCTGCATGAATAATATCAAAGCATTTTGTAGTGGTAGTGACACTAATAGGAAATGGCAAACGTCGTTGCTTAGCAAAATGGCAAACTTCACAAAATATATTTGGTTGACAATTTATTGAATTATCAAGGTCCTGCAAACCTTTTATTCTACGGTAGGAAGCATGGCCTAGTCTAAAGTGCCAAACATTAGAATCAGTGACAGAAGTGAATGCCAAACTCTTTGGAGGAGGTAAATTCGGCCTGCTCCCAACCCAATGGTATAGTCCATCACGTTCCTTAGCTAAGCCAATCATCTTCTTGCCACTCTGAATTTTACAACCATCGGCACAAAACACCAAGCAACAACCCAAATGTTAGTTTACTAACTGAGATTAAATTAAATTCAAATTGTGGAATGCATAATACATCTCGTAGTATTATTTCAGCAGACAAACACACATCACCAGCATGAGTTACCATGGCATGATCACCATTTGGCAACATGACTGACAAATGACGCACTTCATGAAAATTTGAAAACCATCCAACATCATTTATGATATGGTTAGTAGCACCTGTATCAATTATCCAAGAAGGAAAGAAGAACTTACCATCTTGAGCAATCGGCTTGAAAGTTTTAAAACAAGCATTTGCTCGAGTAAATGCTCCTGTTGGACCTTCACTTGTATCACAGGGCCTATCATCCAATGGTGTATCAGGAAGTGAAGCAGCAATCCCAAATTCTTTGCTATGCAATCCCATATTCTTTGCTATCATTTCCTTGAATGGTTTATTCCCTTATTATTCTTATCATCTGTATCTCTCCACTCAAGTGATTGATTGTTATTAACCTCCCCCAAACTGTGTCGAGGCTGGAGACATAGTTTGTTGCAAATGCGAAGAAGATTGGCCTTACATAAGGGCTTGGTAAAAATGTCCGCAAGCTGGAGAGTAGAGAAGACATGGCGAGTAATAAGGATTCCCATTGCGACTCTCTCACGAATAAAATGGTAGTCCAGTTCAATGTGTTTGCTACGGGTGTGAAACACAGGATTAACAGTCATGTGTAATGCACTCAGATTATCACAGAAGAGTATAGGCAGGCGGGTTTGAGGAACATCAAGATCACGTAAGAGAAAAGTGAGCCATGTTAATTCAGCTGATGTGTTAGCCATTGCACGATATTCAGCTTCAGTACTTGAAC